AGTCAAATTCTTGGATAAATTGGACAAAATTGTTGATTATCGTTCTACAGTTCGTGTTTTAGAGTTAATATGGTGTGCAGTAACTATATCTATTCACATATATATGAAAAAAACAAACCTTAATAAATATAATATAATAGATTCAAATAGTGGTGCCAATAATATTTTACGAATATGGTATCTTTATTATAAATAGCATCAATTTTCAAAGCACATCGTGTAAGAATCCGTGTTGGCAATTATAAATTGCAGAAAAACGCTTTGGCTTGTTTTGCTAGTTTATTTACATCAGCAGGAAAATCAAACTATTCATCATCAGTTACTCAATATCTTGGAATGCTGGCTCAATTCCCAAAACTTGAAGAAAAATTGGAATGTGTTTCGTCAGTTAAAATTGATAATGATGAAAAATGAAAGGGTTACTACTTCGCATTTGACGAAGCCCTTGAAACCTTCGGAGTTAAGTTTATCAAACAGAACATTACCGGAAATGTAGTTGATGATAATAAATTAAAATTACAAGTCAAAGCTGCCTAGAATAAACAAGATCGCACAGGTCGAAAAGTGAAAATCAATCAGTCACCAATCGGTCACCAATCAGGTACCTGATTGGTGACTGATTGGTGCCTGATTGGCATTTTTGCCAAATACCGTCACCAATCAGTCACCAATCAGTCACCAATCAGCTACCTGATTGGTGACTGATTGGTGCCTGATTTTTCACTTTTCGACCTGTGTCGTATAGGAATCTTATTATTAGAATATCTTAATGATCCTTGTAGATCAATTGGACAAAGAGCTGTAGATATCCGTAAAATGGCCATGTGGAAACTAGTAAACGAACTTTTGTCAGCATTTGAACATTCTGATAATTATAATCGTTATCAAAATCCTTTATGGAGTACTACTACTTCTGATCATATTACGGCAGACAGTATTAGACGTCTTGAAAACTGTTTTCCTGATGGAATTTTAAGAATAGAAGAAATTTTCCTACAAGATGTCATTTCAATACAAAAAAGTAATAAAGTTGGAAGGAGAAAATTGGGAATTATAAGATGGAAACCTAATGACCAAAATTCAAAAAAAATAAAAACAAAATGGCATCGAGTTCAAATACAGAAAATTCTATTTCTGATCAACAGATGCCAACTAATTTGATACTTCAAATAGTAATTATAGATAAAGATGGGCCGCTAATAAAAAAGCCAAGACAATCACATCATAAAACTAAACCCAAAGAAAAGAGTCTTTTAGAACCATTAGTGACTTGTTCTGAGTATCCGAATGATGAACAAATAGAACAAGTTAGAGAATTGCTAGGAAATGAATGGGATAAGGATCGAATTTATCAATATATATCTCATCATAGACGTAATAAAAACAATAAACATTAATAATTTATTATATATTACCTTAAATAAACTTGGTCTTTAATAAAAGAAGTCTTCAAGGTTTCATTATATATAAAAAAAATGCCATTTTTCGTTAAAAAGTCCTGTTGTATATGGTTTCTTAAAGTGGTTACGTCAAAAGAACTGCTAAAAACTAAGTTCGTTGGGTACTTTTTTTTTGATTTAAAAGTTGGTAGCAAAAGAATCTCGGGCTTTAGTGTCAAAAATAGGTAAATTTCCTAATAGGATAAAATTTCGCAGGAAAACAGGGAGGGCCAAACTTTTACTTATTTTAATAGAAGAAATGTTGTTGAAAAAAGTTTATCAAGGGATTTTTTTTTAAATAATAATTTTAATATATATATATATATATTTAAATTAAATAGTACAGTTGTTAGATCGTGAGATAATTAATAGTATAAGTTGAGGTGTTTGGTTCGGTTCCTAAGGTGAGTAAAAATAATTATAATTTAATTTAATTTAAAATATATAATTAAAATATATATATAATATATGTTAATATACGGTGTTAAACAATAACGTATAATGTATTGAACTACACATTAAAGTTGAACAACGCGTATATTAACATTATGCGTTGGTATACTCCAGTATACGGGTGTTGATTAATATTGTAAATCGCATTGAACAATTAGCTAGTATTGATTAACGCGTATACTGGTGTGAATCAACACTTTTCAAACTTGCTGATAATGAGACCATCGCAGATAGAACTGTGGCGTAGATTTCACGATGTTGCGATTAATGATAATACATCGCAAACAAATAAATATCGAATGTATCTATCCCTTACTAAGTAGTAGATAATCATACACGCTTGCATATGGTCGTAACTGCTATTGTTTCAGACGAAACAAAAGAGACCTATTAATGGATTCTGGAATGTTTACTGTCTGCCACAGACAATCTTGTCCCAAATATTTTATTCACTGATGCAGACCCCGTGATGATTTCAGCTATTTATGAAATACTGCCATCAACAAAACATAATTACTATATCTGGCACCTGCGCAAAAACCTTGACAAAAATTTGAGAGGCGGCTTCGTAAAAATTACAATAAATTTGTGAAAGCATGGAATAAATGCCAGAATTTCTTCTCAGAGTATAAATTTCAAAAACGATGGCGTGAACTTCTTACTGGCTTTCTGGCAGCAAAAAAATACCTAAAGCGTGCACTTAGACAAGTTGTAACTAGCTGGGCATTATGCCATACTAGTCGATCATTCAATGCAGGAATTCAGTCAATTCAACGCATTGAAGATTATAATTCGCTAATTAAACGATTGGTCAAAAGTTCAGCAACATTGTTTGAATTGGATACACATATCCAGTCACTTCTCAACAAAGAAGAAAATTTGAACAGCATGAACAATCAAATCAAAATCCAACAGTGGGTTTGCCGAACATTGTCAGGAGGTACTTTAAAAGAATAGATATCATCATCAAAAAATTTCTTACTCCTCGTGTTTTAAAGATGCAACACAATCAAATGAATAAAAGTTTACTTTATCGTGCAAATAGAGTAGAGGATTGGAATGATTTGCTCAAAAATGAATTATAAATCGTAAAACATTGGCATTTTCTTGCAAATCACGTAACATTTTTATTATATTTTTTATCTAGATTACCATTGACGAAGGACAAGATGAAAACGGTGAAGATGATGAAGATTATGAAGATAGTGAAGATGGTGATGATGGTGATTATGGTGATAATGATGATAATGATGAACAATCTGATGATGAAGAGCAATCTGATGATAAAGAACAATCCGATGATGAAAAACAATCTGATGGCGAAGAACAATCTGATGATGAAGAGCAAGATAATATTGATACACGATCTGAAAAGTTGAATTTTCCTGAAGATGACTATAAATCATCAATAGTCAATTTACATGCTCTAATTACATACCTTAATCATGCTAACATTCATGAGGTTTGACGTGTAACAACAATTGAACAAAACAAAGAGCATTTCGTGGTGATATATGATAATGCTAATCACTTATGTACATGCATGTGGCTTGTAGTAAGAGGATTAGTTTGTTGACATTTCTTTTCAGTGATACTCAATTCAGATAAGGCTATGTTTCATATCGGACTCATTCCAGATCGATGGTACAATGAAAAATTTCCCGATTTTCAAGAAGAACCTGCAATCGCAATTTATAGCGAAAAGAATACTGTCAACCCCACGTATGAACATTAAATTAGGACGGATTTTAGCCTATTACATGAGATTCACCATACACAAGCATTTTCGGAAACTGCCAAGCAAAATTTATCTCACAAAGCCAAATATAATCAAGGTTTTGGCTACGTGAAAAAAGCAATTAGACTAGCCCTTGAAATAGGCTGTACAGACGAATTAAATGGAATGTTACAAAGGTGGATAAGAGAGAAGGAAAATGAAACTCGTTCTAGGCAACTGGAGATCGATAAAGAAAATTTACCAAATATTAGCAACCCTTATCAGACGCGTATAAAAGGTGCTCCAAGAAAGCATATAAAGAATGCATTAGAAGATAATCAAAAGCAAAAGTTAAGTGGATCTGCTAGTACTCAACGATCACAGTATGTATGCAGTCACTGTAAAGCAGTGTTGTCACAGGACAATGTCTGGGACATGTTACACAAAAAAGAAATGATAACCCCTCGAAATTTTTCTATGATAACCTTGTTCAATACTTAGCAAAAATGTTTAGCATCCAATTATGGATAAATAAATATAATTTTTGTAAAGAATTTTAAGTTACAGAAGAGTATGGACAGAGCGCGGACATGTCCGGGACAACCAAAAAAAGCTGCAGACATCAAAAATGTACAACACTGCTGTAAAGGCATTGGACATAATGCACGTAGGTGCAAACTTAAAAAGAATCTAAAGAAGCCTAAATCTAAACGACTTACAAAATGATTAGTTTAGAATTTTAGGATAGCAAATTGTTATCGTTTGTTTTAATAAAGAATTGAAAATGCATTTATGATTAAACATGTAACTTTTGATTGTAATTAAATGCGTAACAATTTATTAAATGAATGCGCGTTATTCAGAATTCAAAGTTCAAACTCAAATTCAAACAAAAGTTCGAAACAATGAAAAATTTGAAAAAATTAAAGGCCCAGTGCAGGAATTGAACCTGCGTTTCTAAGATAAAAAAAAAATTATTGAGCGTTCTAACCACTGAACTAATTGAGCAAAATAATAATTATAAATGGATAATAGTTATATTTATATATTATACATCATGTGACATATTCAAAAAAAAAACCCAGGCGATAATCGCCCAGGCGACGGTTAGCAATTCCCTTAAAAATATCATTAATTTAATATTATATTTTAGATTCAATTTCATCTAATAGTACAATTACAGATAATATAATTTCTATTGACAAAAATTCTCCAACTGAAACTATTGTTCCTTCAACTGCAGTTGACACTACTATTCCTCTAACTGAAACAACCACTTCAACTGAGACTACTACTCCTCTTACTCCTCTTAATTTAAATACAAAACATTCAATATCTATTTGGAAGCAAGAATATATTAGCTCAATATCAAATCTTCATAGGTCGAAATGCTAAAAATCGGCAAAAAAAATGGCGCGAAAAGCAGTGGCTATTCTTGGCTATTCTTGGCTATTCTTGGCTATTCTTGGCTGTTTTTGGCTATTTACGAATTAACCTATACTATTTGTAAATAGTTTATACAAATTTGCGAATAGTTTATGCGATTTGCGCCATTTTTTTTGCCTATTTTTGATCATTTGACGTGTGCTTCTTGCTGATTTGAATGACTTAATTACAGTTGAAAATAGCATGAATAGACTTACTCAAAATAGACCAGCTGAAATTGATCCTGATACAGAGAATGTAGCTAAAGAAATAACTACACTATTAAATAATTTAAATAATTGTGAACAGTTGGTTAAGCTGAAGAGTATTACTTTTAATGCCTGGAAAGAAAAAAATGAAACAAGAAACAAAAGAAAAATAAAAAGTACTGAAAATTTATGTCCAATATCACCTTCTAAAAAATAATAACGTAAAGATTCTCATAAACCATTTTAACATAACGAAGTCTTTGTCAAAATATGTCAAAATACCATATTATAGAATATTTTATCAATAAAAAAATATAGTTTAAAAATAAATAAAGTTTTTTTTTTTTATTATAATTTTAAAAATTATAAACTTTTTTTTTAAAAAATTTTAAGAAAAAAAATTTTTTTTTAAAAAAAAAAATTTTTTATGTGACAAAGTCTCATAATCAAATTGTTTCAAAATAGTGTTTGGAGACATGCCAAGAAAGGAAAATCTGACCACCGATCAAAATGATCTGCATCCGAGGGTGGTGTGGTAAGATGATCCAAATAATAATAATACGAGTAGTTTTAATAATAATGTGGAGTAGTGAGAAGGAACCACCGTACAGTCAACTCTCCATAATTGCACTCTCCATAATTGCACACCCTTCGTAATTGCACCCTTTGATTCGGTCCTAACTTTGGGACTTAATGCTAATTGCACACCCTCTGTACTCTACATGTGCAATAATTTTTTAGTACGATTATATTGTCCTATTCTCCATAAATGCACGCACGTGACTTTCTGAACCTTCCGAACTTATATAATAATGCGCAGTGCGCACAGTTTGATTAACATCTCGCATTCTCACTATGCCTAAAAAAAACATTTCTTTATCAGATATTCAGAAATATGAGCTTTGTCTTTATGCTCGTGATAACAAGAAAACTCGAACTCAGTATGTGGACTGGGTTGAACAAAAGTGGGGGGTCAGAGTTAATAAATCTACAATTACAAGAACCTTGCAAAGTAAAGAGAAACGACTTACCACAGAACTTGCAAATCCAGAAGCAAAACGTCATAAACCTGTTGCTGTTCCGGAATTTGAACTTGCCCTAAAAGAATTTGTTTTATGTTATCAGCATAAAACAATTTTAAGTGATGCTATATTAATTGAGAAGGCTAAATTACTAGCCAATGAACTGGAAGTTCCTCAAGGAATATTACAAGTTAAACATTTTTTTTTAATAATTTATATTTAATAATTTATTATAATGTTTGTTTGATCACTATTTTATTATTTATTTATAGTTTTCCAACGGATGGATCCAAAAATTTAAGGAGCGTAACAGTATTCGTCAAGAAAAGATTCATGGAGAGGCAAATTCTGCTGATGAAAATGCTATTGCTGAAGCTCTACCTTTATTACAAAATAAATGTGCAGAATATCCTCCTGATCGTATTTACAATATGGATGAGACAAGGCTTTTTTATCGGTAGGTATTTAATATTTATATGTTATATTTGTAATCTCTTCTCATTATTAATAACTAATACATATTCTTTTAGGTTAGAACCAGACCGAACATTAGCTACAAAGCGGCTTTCTGGACGTAAAAAAAGTAAGGAACAGCTATCAGTTGCTTTATATGCAAATGCTGATGGATCACATAAGCTGCCTCCTTTAATAATTGGTAAATATGCAAATCCGCGATGCTTTAAAAATGTTAATATTGGCAATTTGCCAATGTCCTATCGGAATAATGCTAAAGCTTGGATGTTAGCAACCATTTTTCAAGAGTGGCTTCAGGAATTTGATTATCAAGTTGGCATAAAACATGATAAACAGCGTGTTTTGCTGCTTCTTGATAATTGTACAAGCCATAAAATAAATAATTTAGTTCTTGAAAATGTTGAAGTTTATTTTTTGCCACCTAATACGACTTCAAAACTTCAACCAATGAATTCTGGAATAATTATGTCTTTTAAAAAGCATTATCGGCATCACCACATCTGGTAAGTTGGGTTTTTTCAAATCTACTATATTGCAAATTTAATATACATATTTTATTTTAGATGGATATTAGAACAAGTTGAAGCAGGCCAGCTTATACAGGATTTAAAAACGAATGTTTTGCAAGCAATTCAATATATTATTCAAGGTTGGAATGAAGTTACGGCTGATACCATCAAAAATTGTTGGAATCATGTCAAAATCCTTTCAGATGCTATTCCTAGAGATAATGATGAAAATTATGATTCAAATATTGACAGTGAACTTAATAGAGCAATTGAAGCTCTTCATTTATCCGACATGATGCAAGTGAAAGAATTTCTAACTATTCCTGAAGAAGATGTAATATATGAATTTCTTAATATTTCAGAATTCGAAGATATGTTTAAAAGTGGGACTACAGATCATCCAGATGAAGTAGATGATAATTCTGAAATGGAAATCATTCATATCAATGAAGCATTACGAAGCTTGAAAACTGTAAATTTGTTTTTACTTCAACAAGAAAATGCAGGTGAACAGATAAAATTAGTGGGTAAAATTGAGAAATTTATTAGAAAAAGGAAATTCAATTCAATGCAGCAGACTACTATAGATCAATATTTCGTATAAATGTTTTAATTTTATAATGATAATAGTTTTAATTTTGTAGTTTTTAGTAATAATTCATAATAAATAAATGTGACGTTACAACTTTATATAAAAATCACGTGATATATGTAATTCTATAATTGCACACCCTCTCTAATTGCACGCTTACGCTCAGTTCCGAGGGTGTGCAATTATGGAGGTTTGACTGTATTATGGTTTAGGGGCCGGCGTGATTCCTCCCTTTAAACGAGATCTACTCCATTATCTTTTATTAGTTTCATTTTTTACTTCCCTTTCTCACGTATTACTTTATAAAAATATAATAAAGATTTTACTTTGATTTTTTAAACGTGTTGTGTTTTACAAGTGACTAATATTTATTAATTACATTCGGATAATTTCTTAATGCCGTAATACAAATAACTAAATGCATACGAGTTGTTTGAAACTAAAAAAAAATAAAAATAAGAAAAAGCGTTTTCAAATAACGTGTTCTCCAAAAAAAAAAACAAACAAGGATTTCAAAAAAAAAGAACCTACAAAAAAAATATTTGAAAGCCAAAAACCATGAGATTTTACTAAGAATATATATATAAATAGCGAATACCGATGTTAATAGAAAAAGTCATTACCGTTACTATTCAGTTGGTTCCTGGTCTATAAATCCCAATGCAAATGCATTATCCGAATTGGTAGTAATGTATTTAAATACAACATAATATATGCTTCCTGAACTAGGTACTTCTTTCCAAGACCGCCTTCTACTCCGCTTGACATTGTCAACAAAAATGGCATCTACCAATACATCACCTTTACGATCAACTCGCCAGAGTTCCGATACAGTTACTCCAGGTAGAGCAACTGCGGATGTATAATTAACAAAAATTTGGGTGGAAGCTCCAGTAAATTTTTGTGTCGTAAAACTAACTAATATTTGATCGGAAGAGTTAAATTTGTATGGTAGTGGTAGAGTTTGTTGACCTGAAACAAAAGAACAAAGAACAAGAATAGTGTAGGTAATTAAGAACCAAGGAGTGAGTTTTTTTGCCATTGTTTGATTGATCGTTTAATTGAAGAGAACTATCTTGTAATAAGAAGTGGAGAAAAAGAAAATTGGTTGTTTTATATAACAGATAATGAAATTATTCATAGACTATTTTTGAGGCTTAGTAAGGGCCCACTTGGAGGCAAATTTCTTGGTCTTGTAATTGGGGCTGAAATTCGTTTTCGTCATTTTATAAGCATCATAGGGATATTACGCAATTTGTAGAAGCTTGTTGCTTGTTGATTATAGTAAGTTTTGATGTTATTCTCTTCTTGTGAGATTTCTTTGCGGATAAAAACCGGAAATATCTGGATAAAGACCGCAATCCAGATATATAAAAATTCGTGGCACTTATTTAATTAAACTTGTGGCATTCATTTAAGTAAGTCCGTAGCATTTATTAAATAAATTCGTGGCAATTATTTAGTTAAATCGTGGCATTTATTTGTTACTTTTGTTTATTAAATTCGTGGCATTTTGTTTTCGTTTTCTATTAACATAGCATCGCTGTAAAAAAAACAGATCATTTAAAATGTTATTCTACAGTTGCTAAGCGCTCTACATGCATTAATATGCATTACTAATAAAAAATACTGTATTTCTTATTATTCTTCTAAACTATTTCTTGCTTTTATGTGACATGATTTAAATGAGCAACGCATGAGCTGTGAATAAATTAGCGTCGTAATTATATAAACCGATTTCATCTAATGTATTAATATACCCCTAATATTTCTTTCATAAAATCCTTGAACTGTAGCTTTCTTAATATTCCCACCTAATTCAAATTGGTTTGACGCTTCGGATTGGGCAACCACACTCCGTTGATCTGAATCATCTAAACTGTTAGGATTTGACCTGCTGATGAATAAAGAATAATGATGGTAGCTTAGTTACTGCGCGCGCAAAATCTGATTGGCCGATCATCTCTTACGAGAAGGTTGCGAGGAAGTGCTGGGAACTGATTGGGAGCTAGGGAGATCTCACGTGATACTAATTTTTCGCCTCTCTGCCACCACAAAAGTGACGACATGAATTTAAAAAAAAACTCTAATCCTGTCTCTCATCTGAGTCAACCGCATCAGCACCACTGTGATTATTATTTATAGTGACATTGATGACATTGGCGCTTTGGGAAAAAGAAGGGATAGTTGGGGTTACGGGTCTGGAAATATTAGGCGTTTCGACGGTTGATGGTGTTTCGGCAGGGCTGGAACCGCTTGATTTTGCGGGTGATGATATTGATTTAGGTGCCGAGTGTCTTGGTATCTTTGACGGTTGGGTTCTTCTTAGTATTCTCGATCTCGACGGCTCCTTAACTCTTGAAAATAATTCCGGGAAAGTTTCTGGAGTAGAAACTATTAAGGATGCTTCTTGTGATGTTGATGGGGTCGGTTCCAGAGGAACCCTCTCAGGCGAGGGACCAGGCTCACTTGTTCCATCTAATCTTCTAACACTTGCGTTGTGAAAGGTAATTCTAGCGAAAATTAAAATAGATTGGTATTAATTAAATATTTGGGAACTCCCACTCCACTTCTCACGTAATTACCAGGTTTCAGCCAAAACTCCGTAGAAAATTCCTCATAAAGCTCTTCCCAATTAAACTCCTTTTTTTCCCACCGCCTCTAAATTTTTTTGCCGTCTAATAATAATGAGTATATTGTAATATCAGCCAGACCCCTTATAAACTTCAAGTAAGCTACAGCTTCCTAGCAATGTCTTCCCAAAATAGGCGTTTCTTTTTATTTGGAGTGGAATGAAACTCAGCATTTCTTTCTTTTCTTTCGTCAACGGGGAAGCGGACTGGGTATTATTCCACTCGAGAGAAGACGATGACATTTTCACATAGTGGAAGACGGGGCGTGGGAGAGATCCACTATTTTATGGAAAAAAAAACGAGTGAGTGATTAATACAATGATAATACCGGTGGCTTAGATGATTAGCCGATCATCTCGTGATTTGAGAAACAACTCTACAGGGCGGACATGCTTATTATCACTTTGCCGATCATTTGCCGATCACATATACTGTATATTGATTATCACGTTTATTTTGAAGCTCCAAGCAAAATCATATTTGCTAGAAAAATTGTACTAATTATTTTATTTGGTAGTTTAGGATAACCAAAATATACTATAAAATTATTGTGGAAAAAAAGATAAAGTTAGCTTTGAGCCGAAATTTTTAATAATTATCCCTTAAACCGTAAGCAATTGCAGGTAAATTTGCCCGCAATTTTACCAAATTTCGGCTCTCATCTAATTTTATGAAAATAAAGCAATTTAATAAAATTTTTTTCCAAGATAGTTTAAATTATATATTGTGCAGCAATTATTATTATTTATTAATTATATATTAGAAAATCGAAAATTACCCACTGGTCAAATGTTGTATTTTAAGATAATCACAATATTTTAAAAAACTTTGCACTTAACTTTGACGATTTCATTGATAATTAATTGTAGCTATATAAAAGCTTAATAGAATTTGTAGAATTTGGTATGAGAAACAACTTTTGTTAATATGATTTTTAATATTTAAAAGTAGGATTTTGACTTTATATAGAACCTTAATGAAAATTTTATGATGCATTTTAATTATATATTCATAAAAATTAATTTTTTTTATCTCTATTTTGTCTATTATAATGCAAAAATTTTATAATGAAAATAAAAAGTTATAATAAATATTCAAATAGAAAAAAAAATATGGTAAGAAAAGTTTAAATTTTATTATATAAAAATTCTGATACTATTTTTGCGGGTTAATTTCTCATCCAATTTTAATGATCAACTGCATATCTAACTCATACAATTTATGGCCAGAATGTAGATCAATTTGGCTGCAAAATTATGTGACAATCTGGCCAAAATTAAAAAATTTTTTATAGCGTCATTTATTCTAATTTAGAAATTGCGGGCAAATTTGCCTGCAAAATGGTTTAAGGGATAGTATTAGCCGATCATATGCCAATCATCTGCTAGTTTGACTTTGAAGCTTTGGGTGAAACCACAGATGTTTGGGTGAAACTTGAAACTTTTATAGTATATTATTTAGGTATTTAAGAATCCATGGCTAAAATAAACATGAATAATTTTTGATAATCAAGAAGTTATTATTAAATACATGCTTGCAATTATTGTAAGATTAATATAAGACTAATATTTGGTAAAATCTTCATGAACTATTTTATGAATTAATTTATTAATAGTATATAAATAAAGTAAATAAAATAAAAATTTTATACATTATTATGTAGAGTTTGTAAAAAAAATAAACTCAATGGTATTTTTTTGTGACAATATTGAACAAATGATTAGCAAAATGATTAGCAAAATGATCAGCAATATCATAATAATATGAGGATGTCCGTCCTGTTTAGCATCAGGAGAGTTCTGTAGAACTGAAGTGGAACTGGAGTGTATTGCCTGTAAAATAATTTAATCATTATATTAACTCAAATCTAATTAACCGAATTAGCTGGACACAAAATCAATGATATCAATTTACACATATACAAAATTAGCATAGCCGGATGTTCTATATAAATCCCAAAAAATGAACTTGATTTTAATCAAGTGTAGTCTTACTAACCCTATGAAAAAAAATCATCCAATTTTTGTACGATAATTGTTCAAGTCCGTGTGGAAATTGTACAATTATTGCAGATTTTTGGATAAAAATAGCTATGAAGTTTTTCAAAGCATATTAAAAGTATGCAATTTTTGTACAACTTAAATTTAGGATATAGAAAATGTTCAATTTTTGTGTGATCTTTATACAACTTAAATTTAGGATACAGAAAACATTCAATTTTTGTACAATAAAAATTGTGATTATTGTACAACTTGAAAATAGACTTAAATTTAGGATACAGAAAGCAATTTTTGAGTAATC